CCCACCCCCGGCGGGCGCGTCGGCCGCCGACTTCCTGGTCCTCCGCGGCCGCCCCCGTGACGCGCCCGGGGCCGCCGGGGACGTGCCGCCCGCGTGCCCGCGCTGTTGACTTTGCCACCCCCCCGGCGCGGGGCGGGCCCTGTTTTTGCAGGGTCGGCGCCGTTGAGTCAGAGGCGGGCGGGGGCGGATGTGGCTGGCCCGGAGCGGAGACAGCCACCGGGCTATCTTGTGGTTTCATCTGGCCCCTACCCGGCACCTTTGGCCCCGGGCACCGACCCAGCCTCCCACTCTGGTCTCCGTGCCACCTCCTGACTGTTCTCCAACCCCCCCGAGCTCAGGTCTTGCCACTTGGCCTTTGCACTGACCAGTCCCCTACTAGGAACGCCCTTCCCCAGATGGGCTCTCCCAACTCCCCCCCCCCCCCCGCAACCTCCGCCCCGCCCATGCCCAAATGTCACTTCCTCAGAGTCCCCTAGTCATACTCTGCCTTGTTGATTTCTTTATGGCTCTGGTCTCTGTCTGAGTGCTGTTTACTGTGCCTCCTCCCTCCGACTAGGTGATCCCCAAAGCTGGGCACTGTGCCCTATTCTCCTCAGCCCATCTTACAGAGAGGGAAACTGAGGCCCCCACAGGGGGGCAGCCTCTGCCCGGTAGCACCCAGCCCTGGTAGTCAGGACTCCCAACTCCGGTCTGGAGCCCATGGGCACGTCCCCACTCTTCTCGATCTTGCGCCCACATTATCTCCTGAGCCAGGCTGCTGAGCTCTTTATCAGAGGCTGCCAGGACCTGAGGCTCTCAGCTGGGCCAGGACTAGCCTCCCAGGGGCCAGGCCACCATCTCCCTGCTATACCCAGAGGCCAGCAGCTGCCAAGTGCCTGCCACCCCTGCCTCACCGCAGCACACTGAGCCCAAGGCCTGGAGGGACCTTTCTGATTTTCCTTGTGTCCAGAACCGGGAAGGTTCCGGAGGGGAACTCCAGCCCGCCCCAAGCCCACCCCGGAGGCCACTCTAACCCGAGGATCATACCACGCCCTCCCCCACTTGTACTCCCCCCCACTCCAGCGCCCTCCACCGAGGTTTTTCGCTTTGACCCATGGGCCCCCGAGTTTGAATCCCGACTCAGCCCTCCTCATTCTGCAGCCCCAGGCAGGTGGCTTCACTTCTCTGGCTCACGGTTTCCCCACCCCACCGGGGCCAGGTTCTGGTGACGAAGCGTGGGGATCTACGTGATGGTCCCTGTCCACGGCAGGTCCAATGAACATGGTGCTCTTACTCGTGTCACCTTCCCCACCGGACCCTGGTCCACTGCGGGTGCTCCAGCAAAGTCGGCCGGTAGAATGGGAAGGATGTCTCGATTATCTGCTGCCTCCTGCAGGCCGGGGCTGGGTCCAGTGGGGACTGCCGCTGCTGTCCTCAGGAGGTGTACCCAGCTGAGCTGCGGCTTGGGGGGCCACCAGGCTAGAACAGTGATGGCAGGGGCTCACCTAGACCCCCACATCCGTTCTGGGACCTGGAGTCAGGTGGCCACCTCCCATGTCATGAGTGTCCCCCAGCCATGCAAAACAGGCAGCAACTGGGTGGGTCCTGCTTTATTCAGAACTGGCAAGGACCCCTCTCCTGGTTGCTCCGTGCCCACCGGGGGCCTGGGGAAAGCCAGGGGGCCAGGGGACCAGAGGAAGCTCCTGGCTCCCCCCGGCTCCATTCAGGGAGGAAACGGGTGGTGGCCCACCCCTGCCCTCGCCTGCGGTCCGGCCCTGCCTTCTGCCCAGACGGTCTGGGTGGGGAGGGCCCTGGTCCACTCAGCCCAACTCAGCTTCGGCTCCTTGAACTCCAAGAGGCACCACTGTACAGGGCTTCCTGGATGGCGTGGACGTGGCGGCCACACGATGGCCAAGATTGAGGGGTCTGGTGGTGGGCAGGGTTGTCACCCGCAGTCTGAAGGGGCCATGGGTGGCCACCGGCACGGGGGGCTCCGGGCTGCCTGGTCCAGGGGTCCGGGGCCAGGCCGGGGAGGCAGGGGTGGGGGTGGCGGGCGTATGGCTTGGGCGATGAGGCCGGGCAGGGCCTGCAGGGAGGCGCCCAGCGCATCCAGGCGGCTTTCGAGGGCAGCCAGGCGGGCCTCAAGCTCCTCGTGCTGGGCGTGCAGCTCGGACATGAGGTCGTACATGACATTCTGAGTCTGCCAGAGACAGAGCGGGAGAGAGAGGAGAGGCCAAGTGAGAGAGAGGGAGGGCCAGGCGTAGAGATGGTTGACCAGCCCCAGTTGGGGGGGGGGGGGGCCCAGGAAGGCGGACCCAAGTGAGGGACAACTGTGAGGACATGGCAGAGCCACAGGTCTCTTGCTGGGCCCCCGGAACTGGTAGAAGGAGAGACAAGAGGAGAGACAGGTCTTGGACGCCAGGCTGGGGGCCAGCAGGCCAGGGGAAGGTGGAGGGAGGTCCGGGGGCACAAGTGGTCAGAGCTGCCCTGAGGGGTTTAACTGGCCACCTGGACAGGCAGCCAAAGGGGGCGTCTTGGGTGGTGCCTTCACCCAGGGGAACCACGGCCCAGAGGCCCGGAGGGGGTTTGGGGCTGACGCTGCTCCAGGCTGGGGCCATGGCTGAGAGGGAGGAGGTCAGTTGTGAACCGCCTCCCCGCGCCC